GTCTCACTTTGTGAACGCCAGTGAGTACCATTGAATTTCTAGTTATGCTGATATTGAAGCTGTTGTCATTTCATTTAATTTTGTTTATTATTTTTTTATTCCTAGGGTCCTCCTGCATTGGTGCTGAGACATTTATATTGAGCTTTGACTGAGAGGTTGTCAACAACCACATCACTTTCTTCACATCTGCCTGATGTTTGGCAGTTACTACTGCTTCAACATACACTACCTGGTAAAACTGCAGGCCGCACTTGAGTTCCTCCAACGGTAAAAATTTAATTCTTCATCATTATTAGAATTCCAAATAGTTCCTAGCATACCCTGCATGCAGTAATACTGAGTAAACTCTCTCTCTCTTTTAAAGGTGTTTCTTTTCAATAAATCCTGGAAGAAGAGTAAAAAAGTGTTCTTGGTCAATCCCAGAGTCTTGACGCTGACCTTACCAACCATGAGTGGACCTGTTGAGGGATGATGGGTACGTTTGATATGATATACACTGCAGATATTTTGTTGTTAAGGTTGTGTACCTATTAAATCTGTCCACTCATTTTGCTCACTGCAATCATTTTAAAAAGAAACAAAACTAATTTTGTTCTAACTCTTATCTCCTCTAACTCTTATCTAACTCTCATCTACAGAGGCACCAAGGTTGAGTGTAAAAAGAAGAAAATAATCGCTGGCTTTTTCAAACTGTTACAGTTTGTAAGTAGAGTGTTTCTAAGTTTTTACTGCAGTTTATGTGTATTTTATAAAAATATTCCCATGTCAATTTTAAATTAAAACAATGTATTTTTCACATAATAGAACTTAAAGTAAAATACTGAAATACAAACATTTTTTTACCGTAAATGAAAAAACTGTTTTACTGTAATTTTACGGCAATTTTGGCAACCACGGCTGCCGGTACTTTAAAAACAGCAGATTTTTTTACAGTGTATTTAGGAACCTAAACATGCAATTTCACCTGTAATCCTACCAGATAATACCAGCATAATCATACATTTTGACAACATGTATCAAGTAGCGCACATTGTTTTGCAGAGGACAAAATCCTCTGCTGGGAGGTCTCCCAACACCTTGTCTAAACACCACCAAAGGGCAGACAACAAGTCTTTAGTAGGAAATTAACCTGGTAGATGGAGATAAGAGAAAACTTAAGTCAACATTACATTTTTTAAAATTGTATTGACACATTTCTGTGGGCTGAATAGCAGACATTAAAGGGACTAATGTGGACACCTGGTACTGATGCTAATGGCTGCTCTTATACGTTTTTTTTAATCCTAACTTATGGTTTTTAAACCTTGATTTTATAGAAGTTTAGAATGGTAAAGTCAGCCGATGATGAACACGTATGATTTAGTTTGGGTTGAGAATCAGATTTAGTAGCAAACTGTTCGACACAGTCGGCTTGTACGATGTTTTCAGTGAACAGAATCTTTCAGATCAACTCTTGGTTAAAGTGTAGCGATGAAGAGACGGTGGTCAGGTGGTGCAGTGTCTCTGCTTCAGATCAATTGTCCCTCAGATCTTCAGTCAGTTGTGAGAACCCCCTTTTAGCTTCATTGCTGCTGCTGGAAAACAATTAGCATTAGTACTAATGCAGACTTTCTGTAATGTTCAGTTCCAAATTCAATCAAACGGTTCAGCTTCTGTAAATACAAGTTGGGATCAACAATTGTTCAACAGAACCACCATTTTTCCTTGTTAATTGTACACCAGTGAAACCATGCAACTAATGATGACACATTGAGTGTCATGAAAACAATGAAGACCAGCGGTCTTTTGTCTGATAACAGACAGTGATTAGTGTGTGGGATACAAACCCTTGACATACCATAACTGAAGTCCTGGTATGATTGTCTATCAATGTGCTTTGCGAGACAAGCTACAACTACAGAAGGTTCTGTTGCTGAAACTAAGGCCAGACTCCTGTGATCCAGCTGCTTTCAGCGTCATAATAGTACAATTCACATGACGATACATTCACAAAAAGGTACAAAAGCAAAGAATAAATCCCGGAGGAGATGATGTCACCGATGTCTCCCTTCAATTTTAGTACTGATAACAACTACAGTACGTGACTACCGTAGTTGTCAATTTATCATTTTCAAGTTATTTCATGCTTGTCATTACAATAAATCAGTTCAGCTTTGGTCACATGATCTGCAAACTCGCAGTCTATTGGATCTGGAAACTTCACTTCCAGACATTTACTTTATATATTTATTAGGATTTTATTTATTTTAAGGATTTTTTCCCACTTTGCATTTTAATATTATCTGACACTTAAAACAACAGTTTTTTCAAACGTAATTTGATAAATATCTTGGGTTTTTTTGTGTTAAAAATAAACCATATGAAGTGAAAAAGTTTCACTGAGACAGAGTACAGCTTTATTAAAGTCAAACTTCAGGCATGTCTGAACTCTTCAAACTCAACTTCAGAATGAAAAAAGGACAGAATCAATATTCTCAAATAAAAAGACAAAGTCATGTACAAAAAGAGTGTCGTCTCAACTGTCACACACATTTAGAAGCAAAATTGTACAAGCAAAAAAGAGCACGCCACAGTAACATGATTCTATGCAAGTTCAATGCAAACTATTTACAAGTTTCTCAACAATATGCATTATGTAGTAACACAGGTTGAACAGTAATCTTCATGATATCTTGTGTTCATCCATGTTTTACTTTAAGCAACAACACGAGAGAGATATGAACCCAGTTAGTTACTGTAAGCAATTCCACTACAAAAAGAAGGAAATAATGAGTGCTTCTGGTGCTTTTCATTCATCTATTCCAACACTAGTTCTGCATTGACAACATTTCAACAAAACAAACAAAGAAAAATTGACTTTTGGGCAACATTGCACAAATAAAGACACAAGGAAAGAAAATGTCTTTAACATACAAGAATGTTTCGACTTTAAAATGCGCAGTACTCACCAAAAACGTAACAAAGATGATTTCTATAAATAATAACAAGCATGATTTAAAAAAAAAAAAAATCAAATCAACAGTTATGGGAACTATTCTGAGAACAAAGAAACAGAACACGTACATCAAAGTTTCTGACAAACTCACTTGATGCTTTGTCACCTGAAGGGGGCAGAAAAGGTTAAATTGGCACAAAGTAAGTCGCTCAGGTGATCAGTGGCGGCAAATCAAGGGCGTGTTCTTGTCACATTATGTCGATACAACATTCTATGGATGTACAAGACAAATGCTCGAAAAAGGCAACGTAAATAACCGGTATCTGCAGTGAAATGTCCCATAAAAATAGAAATACAAACCCATCATAAATGTTAATACAATTTTCTTTTGATTAAATCTTCCCACAAACACAAGAATCATGAACGCCTGCAGCCGGAAAGATCTAATATTTGAGTCCTCTGCAAAAATGAAAATACTCCATTCAATTACTTGGATAGAAAATTCAAGTTGAGTTAAACTTAAAGTAAAAATGTCTTTTTATCCATTGATTGATTAAAAAAAAAAAAACAGAAATAAAGTAGATTGGCCAACATTGGAAAATGCACTTAACTTGGAAAAATCGGTGGGATCTGTTTTAACTCCCAGGAAAATACCAAAAACAAAATTGTTTAATGTCTAAAATAAAAATACATACATATCTATATGCAAGGTGCTAATACTAAAAATAAGTAGAAAACTTTGAAAATATAAATGCAATAAATGTGTGCAAAAAAACATGTACAGAATTTATAAAAAAAAAAATTAAAAATTGAGCCAATCTGAGTTCAGTCTTTTTAAACAATCGTCCAACTACATTTCTGTATTTTTGTCTATAATTTGAAAAAACGTAATACTTCAAAAATGTTTGACTAAATACAACACCCATGGGTTTCTTATTGACACACAGAGTGGTAGGTTTACCATGACATGTTTCAATGGAAAGTGTTTCCTGATGATACTGGGACATGTTCCAACCAGCTGTGATCAGTCAACCTATATGTAAAAGACAGTTTGCTGTCCAAACATGTCAAGGCAGAGCTACACCTGTACATGAGTATATGGAGGTCATACTGTGTTCTACATAGAATTTAAGCCCAGTACAACTGTGCAGGTTGGACGCTGAAAAAGAAAAAAAATTATTGAACCATTGTTTCTCAAAGGGAGGGTCACGACCCTCAGGTGGGTGGCAAGAGCGTTTTTTTTTCTTGGGTTGTCTTGCGTCATGTTTTCCAAGAGTTTAGCAATACCATCTATTGACTTGTCGCAAAGGTTTGTGACTTTTAAAATATGGGTCCTCAGAAAAAAAAGGGCAAACACTGGTCTAAACGACAGACGGGCTAATGCATTTCTAATGGTAAGAGTGTTGAGTTTTTGTTTTATTGTACAATAATAGTCTGCCCACATTTATCTATCATACCTTCGAGTCTGAAAGAAACTGACATTTAATGCAGGTTAGTTGCCAATATGGGGGTGAGGCCCTTTTAGGGACATGGAGCTACGGAAGGGGAGCCTAGCAAGGTGAAATCTTTTTTACAATTTTAATATATTCTAACCTATTGTACCATTACTTTTTTAAATTAAAGATCAATGGCTTCCCAATAAAACAGCTCTATCATCAGCATGTGTTAACACAAAAAAAAAAAAAAAAAATCTGCATGCATGAACTCAGAGAGACAATGAACTTCTACATTGATTTGAAAAACGTTAAACCCTGTTGTTTGGATTTACACACCCACTCACTGTGGGAGTTTAAAGAACGAAAAAAAAAGCACTTCCGTAAACAGAAAAACATCACAGGCAAAAGGGCTGAGACATAACAGGAAGTAAGCTTCATTCTATGGTGACCAACAATGTCCAGGTCTGACATTTAAATACTGAACTGCTATTTTATAAAACACCATTTACAGTGTCATGACAGAGCCAGATGAGAAGTAGCTGTCACTGAATGTGGAATCATTACACCGAACTTAAGAAAACAACTAGATACAGGTATAATATGTAAAAGCTCTGTGTGTTTTGTTTTTTTGTTTTGTTTTTTTTTTTAAATAGTCTTTTTTTTTTTTTTACTATGGTAGCGAGAATGAGACAAAGTACTCTACTGGTGTTTGAAAAATGAAATCAGAATAAAATGTGGTGCAATAAATACAAAACAATGACAGATGAGTGATTAAAAACACTGTACAGAAGTTTGTACATTACACCAAACTACATCTGTATATAAAGCCCAGCCTTGAAGGTGGATTCCAGGTGGAATCAAGTGTCTCTGGAGGACACTAAAGACTTTTTGCTTTTTAGTATGAAGCCAGATTGGCAGTCATTTCGGGGGGGAGATTGTTTTTTTTTTTTTTAACATAATGAAAGAAAGAAAAAATTTCAGGCCACCAAAAGGATGCCTCGGCAATCACCACTTTTGTGATGAGAGGAAATAACAATGGAACACAGTTTAGAAGAAGAGGAAGAGGTATCCATTTTTAAACACTTGTCTTATGTTCTTTTAATATACATTGACCCATCTAAATTATCGAGCGACAAGCTGTGAGAAAGTGCTTTTCAGAAAAGTTTGGCAAGACCAAAACCAACCTAAAGAATGAAAAAAAAAAATAAAATAAAAAGTAGGAAGTTAAGCATCAAACGTGGTCACAGTAAACAGCATAACTGAAAGAGACTGCATCTGGGCAGTAGACGCTACAGCCACAACTGAACTTAAGGCTGGTTCACAATACTTTAAAACAGCACCAGTGGTCACAAAGGCTGGGCTCCTCCATCTAGGATACAAATCACTGTAGATCGTTTTGGTGGAAATGTGAAAACACCATTTCTGTTAGAGAGGCGAGGGGAAAAAATACTTTTTTTTTTTTTTTTTTTTTTAAATCTGTGTGTTTTCTTCATCCAGGAACAGGCAGACACTTCTGCTCTTTAAGTACTTCACAATATCATGAGCCAATTATGTACACACTGGATGAGTCTGTTGATATGAAGAACACAAGTACGTCTGTAATGTCATACCATTACACTATATACCATTATAGTTCACCTTAATAGGACTATTTTCACAGGTCTGTGTAATGTTCAACACCTAAACAAACAAACATAATACACCACTCACTGAGATGAAGTGAGAGAATCTGTCTGTAAACATTAACAAACATATATACTGTATATAATTATATTCATCTATACTGAGAAGTATATTAAAATTATGTTTAAAGAAGGTTGGAATGTAGTGTGGTCCTTAAAAGAATTGCACAAAAAACAGTCGATTCCCTGGCCCTCATCCTCCCACCCTCCCCCTTTCTTCTCTTCCCCCTCCTGAAGTCGGAGAAAGAGATTTTCTGACAGATCGTGAAGCGGAGAGATTCTAGCCCAAAAAAGGTTCAATTCCATGAAGCCATCCTGGCTTTTTTAGAGACGCTGGTCAGCACTTACAGCAGGTAAACACAAAACGAGAAGCAGCAGTGGAGGAGAAGTTCAGCCGTACGATTCCCTCCACTCCCACATGACAATCCTTTCCCCAGTGCAGGTGACAGACGATGTGACAACACAAAAGAGATTTTCCTCAGCTGAGAAAAAAAAGTCTGAGTCTTGTGATGGATGCTGGGAAAGTGTAAGAAAACAAACAAAAAAAAAATCTAGTGATAGTGCTTTATGGCAAGAGAGGAGGGAAATGGCACACAGTTATGCCTGGTCACTTGGTGTCGACACTTCAGTCGGGGTCTTTTAGTGCTGATCAGCAGCCACCACACTGGTCACAGAGCACTAGATTCCCTTCAGTAGTACACTGTCTTGGATCAACGGTGGACTGAGGCCCAGGGGGGAGAGGGGCAGCGGGGGTCGGGCTACACCAGCACACACTGCAGGGAATGAGGTATTGAGCAAGCTGCAGAGTCACTCCGCAGCCGGTTCACCCGTCTCAGGCTCCGTTTCGACTCCGATGGGGCTCGGTGCAGAGTGCTGTATCTGGGTGGAGCCCAGAGGACTGAGGGGGTCGTGGCTGGAGCAACAGGGACGGCCTTCCAGGGAGGAGGATGTGAGGGCGCCTGCCTCGTGAACTTGGCAGAAGGACCGAGGGCAGAAATTGCAGAAGGATGAAGCCGGAGCACCACAGACGGTACAGTCGTGCCACGGACATTCCCAACGCCCTGTTAGCGGGAGGAAGGACCAACGTTAAGATCAGTAAAATGTTCAAGGACGATGGAAAAGTAATGCATGAAACTGCTATGGAAAAAAGGACTTAAAGCAATATAACAAACAAGGCTAACAGGCTGCCTCCTGCAGGCGCCAAGCATGTGGTCCCTCTGGGAATCTAACCCAGGACCCTCTGCTCTCTGTTTCCGAGGCAGGCGCTACACTGAAACCGACATTAAAAGAAAATGTTATAATTTTTTTTTTTTTTTTTTTACACAGATTTAATGACATTAATTTAAATTATTTCATTTTTAACAAGTTTTTTATACTGAAGGGGAGGGAAAAGAAAAAAAGGTCCAAAAACAGAACCTTGAGGGACACCACAGGACCACTTCTGCTTCTGCAGCCTTTTCAAAGAGATACAAGTCTAACTATTTTTAAGAATATAAGATATAATGTTAGGTATAATATAGTTACTAATTTTTTCTTTACCGTATGGCGGCTTTGTGAGGTTGAGACACAGAAGGTGGTAAGCCTTCAGACAGTCCTTCCTGTCGCACATGACCAGCTCCCCTCCTTCTCCGCAGCAGTAGCAGAAGTACTCGTGTACGTGTTTACCCTCCAGTCTCAGCTTCCGCTTCTTCGGCTTCAGCTTGGCGTTCCTGGCTTTCTCTTCTTTCTCTAGAACCACAGCACTCTACAGAACAAGTTTAAAATCCTTTAAACAAACTGAGGCTGAAAAGCCTTTCAAAGGTTTCAAGAGACATAAAAATGGAAATAAAATCCTCACCACTGGCTGCACCCCAAGAAATCCAGAGCAGTTGTCAGATCCACAGTGACAGGACGTCCGCCTGTTGCCCACACAGTACAGGTTGTAGTTGAACGTCAGCTCTGTGCCTGCAGGACAGAGATCGTTCATTAAAGTCGGTCAATGACTCCTTTCAGCATATGGACATAGATGTGCTCGTACGAACGTGACATGGATCTGATGTATGAACTCACCAGCCTCGATGTCACAAAGAGCAAAGAGTCCAATGTGGACGTCACCGTTCACGGTCCACTTCTGAGTTTCACAGTTTGGGCTGCAGCTGTGATTCATGAAGCGAGCGGAGTTTCCCTTTGGACCGGCGTCTATCACACGGTCCTGCATAGAAGTGTGGTTAGAAAGTCCACGTTAGAAAGACAATTTAACTACGTGTGTGGTATAAAAAGAGTCAGACGTGCTGATCGTACCTTGGTCAGGGTGAGCATGTAGAAGTCGGACATGTGGTTTTCATGGGCATGTTTGATTCGCTGCTGACACTCCTCTGCGTCTATCAACTCTCCCACGTACTCTGTCACAAAGTCACCCTGAAAAATCCCAACAACAGTTTGTTGACGTTAAGGAAACGAAAGAACTGGAAACTTGTCGGTGCAGTCGTCCAGTGAGATCCAGCCCTGCCTGAAGAGTCAGTAACACATGCTTTATTAATATGTACACAGCAGATGTGTCCACACTTTTTCGGTTTGGGAGCTACTTTTGAAATGACCGGGGTAAAGTGATCTATCTACATTGAAAACTATAAATATATATTTACTACTTTGATTAAATGGCTGTAGTTCTATGGCACAATACCGTCTGACTCAATACTTCTATTGTCCTTACTTTAGCCCTAGTGATTAGCGTCTTAAAACAGAATTAAATCTATCAGTTTTAATTTTTTTTTGTTTCTTTAAATGAAATTTCTCAGGATCCACCAGCACTCCCTTTGAGATCTACTGGTAGATCCTGATCTACTTATTATTATTATTATTCCGAGACATACGAGAAAGCATTCGAGCAAATTTTTGCTTTGAGATACAAGTGAAATTTTGAGATACGCTTCCCTTCCTCCCTTCCTTTTGAGTGTGCATGTCTTTATAGCAATTAAAAACATGATTTTTTTCCCCATTGTTATTAGCACTAATGAGGGAATTTTTTTACAGTGATGGAACAGATTTTGTTTTCTCTTATTTCTTATGGGGGAAAAAAAATGATTCAAGAAACAAGCACCTCAAGTTACGAGCTCGGTCCTGCAACGAATTAAGCTCATATCTTGAGGTATTACTTTATATAATATAATACAGACTTAATATTCTTTAACTTCTATTAAATCAAGATCTGATCTTCTTTACTAAGGTAAGAACAGAGACACACCTTTCTGAGAGCCTGGTTCGTCCTGAGTCCCCACCCTCGACCGTCTGTCTTCACCACCTCTGTCTCTGCGTACTGCCTCTTAGAGAAACACTGGTTTTCACAGCTCTCCCCTGCTGGGCACACCTGGTAACAGCAACAAAACCAAACAATGGTCATGATTGGAACTTAGGTTAACGAGAAATAATGATAGAATAAAATCATCTAGAACTAGAAACAAACCTGAGGGTGACACTCGTACTGCAGCACACGGTTAAGACACTGTGAGTCCAGGCTGCACGGGTGATCGTCCGTCGGTTTGCAGTTGCATCGTGGGATTTCTGACAAGTCGGCCACGTGAACCTGTACTTTCCCCACTGGTTTGTTTGACTGGGACAAAACACATTTGTGGTTATGTGGCTGCTGGGTTCACAGTACTTGGTTGATTTGAACTGAACTAAGAAACTTCATGGTCAGTACCTTGATAAACTTGTAGGGTGGAGGTTTACGTGAGTTGCGTTCTTGCTCCAGAGCCTCCCTGCTTTCTCTTTGGGCTTTAAGCTCCTGAAATCTCCGCGCTGCTTCTTCTAGAGCTAAATAAAAAAAAAATTTTTAAAAAAATGCCACATGGGGGCATCAGAAAAATACCTTCCAAAAAAATCATTACGATGAAACTCAAAACACTAAAGAGAAGTCAGTCACCTTTCTTGAAGGTTTTGTTAATGTTGATCTGACCAGTGACAAAGTTCCTGTCGTTCTCCACGTAAGGGAACACGCGGCCCTGGTTGATCCAGTAGTAATCATGGGAACCAAAGAAGAAGACGGGGAAGTCTCCGATGTCATGACGAAGGCTCTGGATGTTGGATGGAACCAGACGAGGGTTGCAGATTTCAGCCGGCCACCACCTGCAGCGGAATAAGTCGTGAAATGTTAAAACAATGGAAATAATAATAATAATAATAAACAAAAAAAGGAAATGGATGTTGATTTGAGAACTTTTAAATTATAGATATTATTAAAAGTATTATGCTACTGACTTCACTTGGGCATAAATTATACATATTTGAAAGATACACAAAAAGCAACATCTCTGCTGCCGTTCAATGTCAAACACTGTTCACCAGTGAGTGACTACCAAACACTGAACCTTCAGAACGAAGGGAAAGATGCCTGAGGGGAAAACTGAGGGCTGATACAGAGCAGTAGACATGTTTTTGCACAGTTTGATGAAAGTTAAATGACAGTTTCAGTTTTGTAAAAACATTTTACCTGCAGGAAAATCTCAAAAAAGACTCAAGTACTCAAAAATGGGTGGTATGCTAAGTGATATGCTTTCTTAATGAATACATTTCCCTTAATTGATACAATTTTACGCAAAATAAAGACAAATGTATTTCTATTTTTCATTAAATGCAAGTGTGAAAAATAAGTGAACATCTGAAAAGCATTAAAAATGTCACCTGTGTACAAATAACTAATTTGAAGCTGAATTTTTTTTTTTTTTGCCCTTCATCTGTTTATGAAGCCAAAATCAGAACCAGAAATAACAGTCAACATTATTAAAAGATACTCAAAAACAAAATTTGAAATTCCCGTCCCCCCGAAAGTCGGTGCTCTCTGCATACCTGTAGTTGCCCAGTTTGACCCAGACAATTTGTTTGTAGTGAGGCTTCTTTCCGGCCCTGCAGTCACTGCAGGACCACGGGCTGTCCCGCATCTCCATCTCCAAACACTCCGGGTGGAAGGACGCTGGGCATGAGTCGCAGCACAGCAACTTGCCTCCTACATTTGGAAAGATGTAAACATGTGTGTGTGTTGGTGTGTGTGAGCGTGTGTGTGTGTGTGTAAGTGCATGCATTGTGAGGAATGGGTATGCAAAGAGAGGAGGAGTGAATGATTAAGTGATGCATCTTAAACCTGGACAAACTCTGAATCTTTTTTGCAGACAGGCCTAAAAAAACAAACAAAACAAAAACAAAAAAACAGGTCAACTCTGATCTGACTGAACAGCACTGAGTCAGAGTTCCTGAACCACAGCAAGTTCTCTTCAATCTATCTCTGCCAGGAGTGACATCTGGCCTGGGATGACAAGCTAAGGCCGATAGATGTTTCCTTCAGGCTCCAGTGACGGCCAGAAAATGTGACTCTGGCATACAGCGACGACCGTCACTGTGGCAGTAACAGCGTGTCTGGCAATCAGATTCAGAGGACTGTTCCAAGACCAGCTTATGTGAAAATACATGCGGCAGCGCAACAACAAGTGAGCCAGCAAGTTAACACCAAATCAGGGTTATCAACGGGTGGAACGCTAGCAACAAAAAAGAAAAAAAAAAAAAAATCCAGAAAAAGCAGGCATGCCTGTAAATTCCCATTGCACATTCCACACAGACCATCTTGCATGGAATTATATTTGTAGAGTAGTGTTCCATCCAAGACAGGTCAAAGCAAAAAATACTAAAAAGCCAAATTTGGAGATATTTAAAAAATAAAAATTGTACAAAAATAAAATGTAGGAGTGACAAGGAAGGGATAAAAGGGAGGCTTTTCAAATTATATTCACACCCAGAGTGCTGAAGCAGGGAAGCAGTGCACCTCCAGCAGAGAAAACCTCCATAATCAATCTGATCTAATCCAGATTATCAGAACCAGATTATCATCAAACAGCTCTACTCATGTCAAAACCAAGATTAAAAGTTCAAAGTTGTTGTTGTTTTTTACATTTA